CAAAGGCACATGCTGGGCAAGAAAGAATGAGGCCATCTTCAAACTCTGATTTCTCCGTAGGGGACAAGAGTGCTTGTAGGAACTGCCATATTCTGGTATTTTGTATCTGTTAGACCGCTCTCTTTCTGAGTACCAGGAAAATCTGAGATAACAAGCTAGTAAAACATAATCCTGAGTAGACTTACACCACACCAAAGGATCATAAGTAGAGTGAAACATATGCCTTCAGCCCTGGATTATGAGGAGGTCAGAGGTAACAAGCATAACGAATCACAGCTCTACAAGTACTTTTCATGCTATTTAACATCTCACTGCTGCATACTTCAATGGGGACATGAAGAGATTGCACAACAGGTGAATGCAGGAGATCTCCCTCTGACTTAAGCACAAATTTATATACAGCTGGAATAATCTGCAACCTTAACACATTTGAGTTTAATTTGAAAAAATGGTAAAGTATTTAAAGGCATAACAGTTAAATTGAGTTAAATTGGAAAGACTAATTGATCCTACCTAATAGAAACAATTCCCTTTTCCATCTCCAAGTCCCCATCTTAAAATTACACAAAATTCCTAGCAGCCTCTGGGATAATTCTTGATTTCCAGCATCAAGAAATGAGGTCTGTCCTTTGAGTTTAGCTTACTCTGCCTTATTAGAAGACTGATTCTCTCTTTATTTCCTATGATTCTCCTCCTCCAAATTTCATTTTGAACTCTTAGGGAGCCTGAGGTACACTGGGAATGTGTAATTGTAGTCTGCATATAGAAAATAATACATCAGAAATGACAGCTGGGAAAACTGTTAGTATGAAAATAATAATCCCAACAATATACCTACTCAGCACAATTGAGCTGCTTCCTGACTAGTGTTTTCTACAAAGCATCTTTGTTTTCTATTTATCCCTTAAAGTTTATAACCAAACTTCCAATCACGTCAAATGCTCCTGCAAGATGCAATTTTTTTCCTCTATTTACACAACCAAATTTAAGATCAAAACTCAGCTAACTTTTTATGCTCCACTTCATTTCATCCATTCACTGTGCAGAATGATACCATTTGCCCATTTGCGAGATTAGTTACCTACAGGGAGGACTACAAAGTAGTAGAAAAGAAGGAGTTACAGGAAAAGGAACAAGAGAAGAAAGGAGAGTGAAAGACGGAAGTTAAAGGAGAACAAGGTAGAGAAAAATAAGTGCTTTTTCAGGATCTCTTCTGGGAAGCATCTTCCTTTTCTGAAAATATATTAATTCTTATTGTAGTTCATAATTCTTTACATGCTGGCCTAGCTTCCCATCTTATCCCCATCTACTGTTTGCTTCTTGTACTTTAATCACTGCAACACTGACCTCTGAGATATTATTTGTCTTAGGCTAACTGAAAACATTTAATTAATTGTAGGCTTCCATTTAGCAATCATCAGGCTTAAAGTCACATGACCTGGCTCTTAGTTCTGTTTTGTAGAAAAAATAGAAGATTAAATCTGCAATTAAATTCTACCAGGAACAAACAGATGTAAGAGCATTGCAAAAACATATGGGTTAAATCAGTGTCTACTGAGTCACACCACTGTTTGTCTTAGCAAACTTGGCCTGGGAATGGTCCAAGACATCTCCACATGATTTTCTGCTGGGTTACTCTTAGGTTTAAGAATCACTATTGACTGCTACCTAGGATTGGTATCTTTTGTTTCACAAGGAAGATATTGAAGGGAACAAGTATAAAAATTTTTAAAGAAAATTAAAAATCTGTTTTCAGATTCTTTTGCCTTATGTGCAAAGTACAGGTCTTTGTCATAGAAATATCTTCTACAGAGATAAATATCCTTTGAGTACATCTGGATTTGAATGGCTACTAGGGTTAAACTGACAGGACATTCCTTAATTAAACTGGAAATATGACTACTCCTTCCTAACCCGTATATAGAAAAGGGATTCTTTTCTATGATCAAACTCACTTTCTCCACTCAGTCAAAAGAAGAGACAGTTTTAATAACCATATGTTTAAATAATAAAGGTTAAAATTCCACATTTTCCTGGAGTGAATCAGTAAGAGAAAACAAGGGCATAATCAGTTACCAGCCTGGGGTTTTGACCTGTCTCATATCTCTTGGGCAAAGAATATAGTTGCTTGCAGAGATGTCAGAGGTATATAACCCTGGAGAAAGAATAGTCTTTGCAAGTCTGACACCAATGTTGACATCAAGAATCACAAGTTATTGTAGCCTCACTACCATAAGGAGGCTGGAAATAAAAATTAGAGAAAAAATGCAAAGTCGCAAAGCCTACACTAATATTTCTGAATCAGAATGGAGGGCTGTATGAAAGACCACATGTCAGGATTTGAGCCCAGTCCATGCTTTTCTCTCTGTTTAAAGATGAGCGTTTTCATTTTCCTCTGGTATGAAAATAACAAGCTTGGCTTGGAGAGAGATGTAGCAGAGCTTTTGTGTCTTAACTAAATGTAAAGGTAAGGATAAACTTTTTGCAGGTTGGCACAGTGGGCACTGAAATCATTTTGCTGTTTGCATTCTGTACAGATATATCATAACTATTTTAATTAATTTTATTTAGCAGAGGAATGTCAGCCTTAGAATTAAAGCAAACAGCAGATCAGGACTTCTGGTTTTTCATTATGAATCTGTGTAATATTTTTCTATTATCAAGGATATACGTCATTAAAGGACACATTCTTACAGAGTTAAACTACAGTCTCTTTGAGTTCTGTTTAGAAGTACTGCTTGAGTCCTTTATAAGGACTATATAAGTTTATATATGTTCTATAGGAGCCTGTTCTTCATAGTTACTGCTTAGTGTGTCCAACGGGTACTCACAGCAATCCATGTGCCCTTTATGTCTTTTTAGGAACAGAATTTTGTGTTAAGACATATCATCAGAGATGTTCTCTGAGTTTTCACTCTCCCAGACTCCATAAGGCAAATAGCAGTTGCATGTTAACCGTGTTAACAGTGCCATGGTGGCCTGCACTGGTGTCAGCTTTCAGCTGATTTTTTATGGATATTCACAGGGGTTTGTGAGACCCTTTTTCTTCTTTATTTTTTTACAGCCCTCATCAGTTTTCGAGTCACACAGAAAAGCCCTAACATTAGTTGTAGCCTACAACATTTAGTGCCATGCCATGTAAATGTAATCAAGTATACTTTATTTGCAGAAATTTAAAAGTCAGCACAGACTTCTTTTAACTAAGACCTTGACCCTTCTTCACTGGCTTCACCCAGCACATTTCTTAACCTGAAACCTATCCCAAACTCATTTTCTATAGCCAGCCTCAGTCTAACAGTAGTCTTTCTCTTGTTTCTCAAGTCAACTGTTTTTCCAAACCATCAGGAAACAACCAAGAGCAGATAATCTCCTGGATCTCACCTGAAGGTTCTGGAAAGATCACCTCGTAAAGGATGACCATAGCACAGTCACATATTCCTTCCCTGAAGGTATAAAGGTCAGAGTCTAGCATTGACAAGCAGAGATCGGTAACAACACCTGAGCAGCTTCTCCAGCTGGACCATGGATCCCTCCCCTCCTCTTATCTGGGCTAAGGTAACTCGTTATAAAGTTGAGAGACCTCTGTGCATTCACTGAGAAGCCATATGCTTGTACTTGTCATCTCCTTGCCAGGTTGAGAGTGCCATATGCATTCAGGGTGAAGAAATACTGTAACATTTCACTGAGACAAGCAGCGTACTCCACATAGTTGCACTAATTGCTATTTGCTAATTGATAAGTGCCAGTTAATAGTGGGCACTGTTCTCACAAAGATCTTACACTGGTAAATGAAATCAACTAGCTAAAGTCCAGTGGTTGTTGCCCCTCTGGATTATTTTACTGTTTCTTTTAGCGAACTAGCATGACATGTACTCTTACTCCAACTCTACCCTTTGGCCAAGACTGAGTTTACAGACCTTCTGGAGAAAGCCTTTCCAAATGTTGTCACTGGGAAGGCCTGTAGCTACAATTTCTGTCCAAAAAGAATCCGGAGTCTGCTTTCACCTGGAAAGCATTTCCTAAACACCAGCAAAAAAAAAAAAAAACAACCCCAAAAAACACCAGCACCTTGTATAGGTCTGAATTTTTATCAATGATACCCATATACTGACACTCCCACTTCTATCACCCAGAAAGCAGTCAGCTATTGAATTAAGTTTACTCAGGGCAAAGCAGGATGGTACAATGAGTACACTTCTTTTCTTCAACTGCACTTACTATAACCCTGATCTTAAGCCTTGTCTGAATTCAGTAATAGGGTTTCTCAGTGTAATACTCAGAAGGATAACATTTACTATCTTAAATTTTCTAAGTGGTTTCTCAAAATGCCACCGTTCCCATTTGTCTTTAACTTTTGCTTTAAGGAAGTAGAGTTCTCACTCCAGCCTTATACGTTACGAGGACAAGACTCAGATTATCCCTAGAAGGGACAACCACTGCTGAAAAACCTATCTACCTACTTGCTGTCTGATTTCCTGCTACATTCAATAGCTTTTAACACAGGTAAAATCTAAACTGAGGTAAGGTGAGAGCTTAAGAAATACACTATCGCCTCAGGACAACAGCTCATCTAGCCGAATGTTTGGCCTCAAGCACTCAAGACTGGCCACATTCTGCAGTCTGTCACCCTTGTATGTCTCCCTCAGCATCTCCAGCTGTTGTCTCAGGGGTACTTTCCTATGTCTCCATAAGTGACAGGACAATTCATCCCTGAATTTGCCCTACAACCACTCTGAAACTTGTTATTTTCTCTCTATATCATATCCTATCATAACTTTGTTTCTTTAATAAACTTTGGGTGGGTTCTCTCAAAGGTTTTCTGAAAACTTAGGTAATATGATGCCCATTGCATCCCCTTTACCTGTACATGTATTGACACTTGAACAGAGAACCAGCAACTTTACCTTCAGAAAAGTCATGCTCACTCACTCCCAACAGACCACACTCAGTTCACTCCATGGTATTACTCTTTACTATTACTCTTTACTAAAGATATTGACAGCCTACCTAGGATTCACTGGTCTTCATTTCCCAAGAGTTCCCAGAGCCCTTTGTGGAGTCAGGAGTTGGGTATATGGGCAGACTACCATGGGGCTACCTTTGTAACATGTGTCCTGGCTGTCTGATCTACAGCTTCAGGCATGAGTTTCTCAGGAACTCTTGAAAGATGCTACTTGTCCCCTATATTTACAGATAACAAGTCTATCTAGGTCAAGTATTTCTTTTATGTACTTCCAACTGATCTACCTCTTCTGCTAAAAAGTGTGGTATGGAGATTTCCTGAGTATCATTAACCATGAAGATCAAAGCAAAGAATGCTTTGCTTATAATCTACTCTGACTCTTTTATCCCCGGGTACCCCTTTTAAACTTCGCTCGTCAAGAGATAATACTAATTCTTTAGCTAACTTCCTGCTTTTACTTTATAATATCATCTTCAGCTTTTTTTTTGTAAGGGGGTCTCCAAAAACTCTTTCAACTTTGCATTTCCAATTTATATTTGACCTGACACATTAAATAACTTTGCCCATTCATCTAATGGGTAACCTTTCATATTTTAGAGGACAATCTTCTTCCTTTTGATTAACTCCTTAATGTCTCATTGAGCTATGAAGACTTGTTCAGAGAATGTTTCAACTTCTTTCTGAATTGTTTCTTTCTGAATTTTGCCACACAATTTACTTGGACTTCTAACATAGTTTTTTTTGAAAGCACACAGACTGCTTGCAAGCTTTGCATATTTTCTCCTTTTAGATGCTCTTTTGTGTGTGTGTGTATGTGTAAGAGTTTCATGGAATCATAGGATCATTAAGGTTGGAAGGGACTTTTAGAGATCACCTAGTTCAACCTTGCTGTACACGCAGGGTCACCTAGAGCACATGACAAAGGACTGCATCCAAGCGGGTTTTGAAGAGCTGCAGAGCTCCACAACCTCTCTTGGCAACCTGTTCCAGTGCTCTGTCACCCTCACTGTCAAGAAACTTTTCCTTAAGTTCCTGTGGAACTTTTGGTGCTCCAGTTTGTGGGCATTTCCTCTCATCCTATTGCTGGCCACCACTGAAAAGAGACTGGCCTCATGCTCCTCACTCCCTCCCTTGAGGTATTTATATACACTGATCAGATCCCCTCTCAACCTTCTCTTCCTCAGACTGAAGAGGCCCAGCTCTCTCAGCCTTTCCTCATAGGGCAGATGTTCTGATCATCCTTGTAGCCCTGCACTGGATTTTCTACAGTA